TATATATATATATATATATATATATATATATATATGAACTATACATATATATTTCTGTTTTTAGAAAAATTATTGGGTTCCACAGCCATTAATTTGCCAAATGCAATCCTCCTGAAAGTTTTATTATTTCCAAGCAAAAGGAGCGCAAAAATAAAAAAAGTGCTAGTGAAAAACTTATTAGGCTAAAAAAACTAAAAAAAGACAGAGAGAGGAAAGTGAAAAAAAAAAAAACGAGCTGATTTTGACTTCAGAAATATGTTATAAATTCAAAAAACGAACGTCAGTATTGCTGGTGTTGTTGTTGTTGTTGGTGCTATTGCTGCTGCTGCTGCTGCTAGTGGTGGTTTTATACTCTTCCGTCTATCTTCTAATCGTCGATCTAAAAGTGCTAAACAATTGAGAATTTTTGTTACCGATAAACTATAACTAACTGCCTGTGTATACTGACAAACACAGAAGTAAACATTTATTTTTAAATTATATATAATAATATATTGTACGCATATATGTATTTAATTACTTAACTGTTTACTTATTTATGTAATCATTTACCCATCTATCCATTTACCTATCTATCTATCTATTTATTTATTTTTGATATTCAATAAGCATTCATCGGTATCCAGCGTGAACAATGGCTCCTGTGAACTCTTTGACCACCGTAAAATGCAATGATGCAACAGAAACGGTAATTAAAATATTGCCAATAATCGTAGTTTAAATCTTAAAAAGCCTTATTTCACTGGTAAGCAAAAAAAAAAAAAAACAGCCACTTTTTAACAAAATACGCCTATGGTTGAGAAAAAAAAGTAAAGTTGAAAAAGAGAGCTGTCACACTTCCGCCAAAACTATGAGGCAGTAAGCAGTATGCTTAGACGTTACACATCTGTTAAATGTTTATGCAAAAGCTTTTTTTTCTTTTCTGAAGATTATCATAACCTCTCCAAGAAAACAATGAATTTTTCTAATTTTTTCCCTTGAAAATACATATAACTCAACACTGAAAAAGCCAAATTTTAAAAGAAAGAAAACAGTGTAAAAATTGGTTTTCTAAAATGAAAATATCCAAATCAGAAGAAAAAAAATTATGCTTTTTTGTTTCCCCAATCGCCAATATGTTTAATAGTTTATTAAATGGAGGAATAACATAACCGACACAAATATCTGTAAAAAAGAATAATCGTAATACATGAAAACAATATCAAAGTTTTGCCTCAGTGTAATTTAAATTTTTTGAATCATAAAGTTTGATTTTTGCCAACACTTAACAGCCATATAATCAAAAATACCAAAGAGACACTTAACCAGCTTTCTTTTTGCAGTTTTTGTCAGGTGAAATATGTCATTTGGTAGTATACAAATACTAGTAAAGTAACACCAGAATTCCAAAGCAATCAATGTCATCAGTCAGAAGACAGCAGACAGTTGGAAAGGATCACGGAATGGCAGCGTTTAAGCACTTCTGCCTAGTTGACTCAATAATTTAAAAAAAATATTTCTTCCTCTTTTTTCTTTTTCTTGAAAGAAAACAACAACTGAGGAGCAACAGCAGTCCAGATAAACTTGAAAAAATGATTAAAATTCATCATGGAACAAACGAGTTATTTGTCAAAATCACTGCAGTCCTCACTCCTGTTGGGATACATGAAGAGAGTCATCTACCGGAAAAAGCCTCAACTACAACAACCCATTTTTCAGCCATGTTTCATCTGGTACAACTCATCAGACAACTGTTCTTCCTTCAACAACGATTTGCCCTTTTACATCATTCTTTAAGCTTAATTCTTGATACGTTTTAAAGTCTACCAAAAAATCTGGTCTCCTTACTGCTGAATTTTCGTAGGCGTCTAAAATGTCAGTAGTTTTAATTTTACTGCTATTTAAGAAATCTTCTGTTTTGTAAGATTTGGGTTACGGATCGACAATTTCCAATTTATTCCCCACTGTTTTCATTTATACAATTGAATAATTAAGAAAATATAGGTGGTCAACATTTCAAGAAACTAAAACCAAACAATAACAGAAGTATACATGGAAATAACCAAAAATGACAAAAATCCAGCTGGCTGTGCATTGTGAACAAAACAGAACAGAACTTTTAAATTACCATCATTCACTTTAAAAGCAAATTTGTTTACTTTAACATTTGTAACGGTGCTCCCTGAGCCTCAGTTTGCAACATCTGATACTCTTGAAATCGTAATGCAAGCCTCTGCGTCATCTTCAAGAATTTATCCAAACAATTTGTGGCACATTTTTCTTCTCTTTCGTTCACAGTCCTATAAAAACTATCAAAGAGCTAAAAACGCTGTCAAAAATAAAGCGCAAAAAGTTATGCATCAGAGAAAATCCCAATTAAAAAACCACAATTTTTTCCCATTCTTTTCGCATTAAGACTTTCCAGAGTAAAAATTTCTCTGGTATGTCCCAATGCTTTGAATGAAAACCTAGCAAGAACAATAATAACACTGATAGTAGTGATAATAACAATAATAATATTAACATTACTAATATTAATATTATTATCAATATTATTGATAATATTAATATTAGTAATATCAATATAAACACTAATAATAATAATGATGATAATAACAATACTATTATTATTATTATTAGTATCAATATTAATACTAATA